TATCTGGGGGAATGTTTGTTCACCAAAGTGCCCCAAGGGATGACAAAGTCGAATGGTTATAAACTACTACAAGTCCATTTCAGGCTGGACATGAGGAAGAATTTCTTTTCTGTCCGAGCCCCCAAGGTCTGGAATAGCCTGCCATCGGAGGTGGTTCAAGCACCTACACTGAACACCTTCAAGAGTAAATTGGATGCTTATCTTGCTGGGATCCTATGACCCCAGCTGACTTCCTGCCCTTCGGGCAGGGGGCTGGGCTCGATGATCTTCCGAGGTCCCTTCCAGCCCTAATGTCTATGAAATCTATGAAGAGTATTGTAAGCCCTGCCAGGGGCTAGGGCTCATAACTTAAGCAGGATACCGCCAAGAGGGCCAAAGGCTAGACAAAAAATACAGCTGAAGCAGTCCAGAGCTGGAAAGGCTAAGACCAGAGCTCAAGAAGGGCAGATACCAGGGCTGGGCGTGGAATCCATGTTCCTCAGACAGTGGGCTGAAGGAAAGATAAACCAGCTAGATGAAAGGAACCAGGGCTGGGAAGGCCAAGGTTCCCACAAAGTTGCTGAGTATCAAAAAGAAAAACAGTGGGTAGGGCAAAGAGCTATGCTGTGGTAATGGCTGGTAACAACTGTGAGGCATGGGCATGGCTATAAGGGAGGTTGGAGGACACAGACACAGCCTTTAAGGCAAATGGTGCCCAGAGGCACTATTAGGGAATGGACAGACAATAGATACAACTTTTGCTGGCCCCTGGGCAGCCTCCCAACAGTTTTTCCCAAGTAACATCAAGGCACGGCAGAAAGGAAAAGGGGAGGACCCAAGCACCCAGAAGAGAAAGGGCTCATGGGGTCAAAAGAGCGTGCTACCATGCCACTCAACCCCAGCCCTGCCATAGGGAGCTAAAGCCAAGAGGGCTGAGGCCCCTACAGGAAGGCAAAACTGTGGACAGAGTAACACCTGTGAGGCATGGACATGGTGGTAGGAACACAAGGATGCCACAAATTCAGCTCATAAGAGAATTAGGGCCCAAGGAGCCCCAGGCCAAAAGGAAGAGTGAGAGGAAATTTGTGTGCCAGGCTCTGAGCACCAAGTCAGATGGGCTAAATTGGGCTCAAGAGAAGAACTGAACACTGACAGAAAGTAACCTGGGCTCAGCAGCCTCTGAGCGAAACCTCCCCTCATTACCATTAACACCAAGGCATGACAGGTGAGGAGGCAGGGTATGACCCTGAGAGGCTGAAGCAGGAGCCATACAGGAGTAAGGCAGTCACTTGGCATCACAGCTGTCCTCGGGTGCCATCCTGTTACAGAAGCACTCCTGTGGGAGAGGAGAGAGAGAAGTAAAGCACTCTGTGATTGTAGAGATTGGATCTGCATCTGCTGCCTGTACAGAAGTTCTGCCTCCTGATAGATATTCTCCAGTGAGAACTCATTCCCATATTATTTTTCTTCCTGAGTGGCAACTTTTAATCTGGGAGAAAAATTATGAACTTCTGTATACTTGTGGTTTCTCCTGAGAGCAGGGACACTCCCCAGAGCAACTGAATGTCTGTCCAAGCCTTAACTGAAATCCTTGTCTTTTTGTAAAAAGCTGAGTTTCCTTCTCAATTATGTTTGGTAATGATTGCTCAGAAGAAACAGAAGTGCAACACTGGATTATTAAATAGTACAAGGTGGGCACATCTACACATGCATTTGCTGCAGCACCAGTTTACTCGCAAGTAAATTATTCACAAGTTAACGGTGCCAGGCAGGTATCTACATGTTCAGGGAAGCAGGAGCAGATTTGCTGCCAATCTGCTCCCACTTCCCAGGGCCCTGGAATGGGCCACTGCTGCCACCAGGGGGAGCTCCAGGCTACAGCTGCAGCTGCCAACAGTCAGCAGCCCTCTTCAAAACCCCACCTTGCTCACTGCTCTCTGACCAGCCATTTCTCTGGCCAGGAGCAGCATGTGCAGCATAGGGATAGCATGTGACAGCACTCTCCTCGCCACCTCTGACTCTCCTGGCTGCCCCTGGCAGTGACAACCAATGCCTCACAGTCCTGCTGCCTACTGCATTGGCCCTGCTGGCCCACCATGCTGACTGCTGCCTGACCCACAGCCCCCTTTCCCCTCCTGGCTTCCACACACTCAGCAACCACCTGCCCATCTGCTGCATGCTGTCCTAGGGCTGCCGCTGTACACCTGCCACCTCAATCCCATCTGCCTGGCTGGACCCCACCAGGAATGCCAATGATGGGTTCCTCCCCATGGACACCTGGCTGGTCCTCACCTTGCTGAAGATGGTCACACCCACCAGCCTGTGGTATTTCAGACACCTCTTTGGCATGGACAAGTCCACTGCCAGGGAGGCTGTCCTGGAGGTGTGGAGTGTCCTCCAAGAAGTACTGGGGACACTGTGTGCCACATGCATGAACTCCTGGCAGTGGTCATGGAGTTCCATGGCCTGGGATTCCCCCAGAGCATCACCGCCTTTGATGGGACCCACATCCCCATCACCTACCCGCCTCATGGAGACTTCCCCTATTACAGCTGGAGGGCTTTCATTCCATGGTGCTCCGGGCCATCATGGACCGCTATGGCGCCTTCACGCATGTAAGTGCCAGCTGGGCAGGCAGCACCCACAATGTTCACGTTCCAAAACTCTGGCCTGCCAGGCCTGGTGGGGAGTGGGTGCTTTGTGCCAGGTGTGCCAGACTTGCAGCTGGGTGATGTGGTAGTTCTGCCCCTCATAGTTTCATATTTTCTAGGGTTGGAAGGGACCTGAGCAGATCATCAAGTCCGACCCCCTGCCATGGCAGGAAAGAGTACTGGGGTCAAATGACCCCAGCAAGGTGTTTGTCTAGCCTTGTCTTAAAGACTCCCAGGGTAGGAGCCAGCACCACTTTGCTTGGAAGTTGGTTCCAGATCCTAGCCACCCTGACAATGAAGTAGGGCCTCCTGATGTCTAATCTGAATTTAGCCTCTGCCAGCTTGTGACCATTATTTCTAGTTACTCCTGGTAGTGCTCAGGGGAACAGGGACTCC